ATGCACATTTCCAGTTGGATATAGGCTCCCACATACTCCTTGAATCAGATTACTTCACTCAGGAAAATGATTTGCTTGGATGCTATAAACACCTAATTTGGCCACCCCTGGCAAAGGTAGGTCTTTCTAGTTCTAAACCCACAGTGAGTGAGTCTAGGCTTTCATGTAGATGACAAGCTTTTCCCAGGCGTCTTTTGGCTGAAAAAGTAGACATTATATAAATAAAAGCCAAGTAATACTTTTAACAGTGGTTCTGACTCACAAAGAGAAAAGGTTGAGTTTCTATAAGATCTTGTTTGTACAAGGCAAGGAATGAAACTAGTAACTTTGTATGGTTTCATATCCATACCTCCAAGCAAATTAGAAACCAAAGGAATGTACAATTCTTTTCAAAAATCAAGTAAAAACTATAGATCTAGCTCCTGACAGCATCTGAGCAGGCTCCTTATATTTTGTCCAGAGTTTTTTCACACGGGCCTCACCTCCCATCAATGTGTCATGTGTCCTAAACGCAACTTACCTTCAAGTAGGCTGCAAACTCTCCCCAGGCCAAGGCCCAAAGTCAGAACAAAGGTTCCTTTTGTGCACAATGACAAAAGAAAGGAGTCTGAATGATTTAGAGTTGAAGCCCAGTAGGGAAAAGGAAGCCTACAACAGGGATAGGATTTCCTACTTAGAGACAGAATCCTATCGCAGCAGACTAATCGCAGCTGCTAGGGGGGAAACCAGCCCAGGAAAGCAAATAAAGACATTAACAGATTAGGTAAAGAAACTAATATTCAGCAAGCTCTATCTAATTCATGAAACCTGACTGGCTATTGGGAAGGTATATCAACTCCTGCTCTTATAAAGGGGCATCCCCAGTATATAAGGAAAAATGGGTGAGAACAAACACACATAGGAAAACATGAAATTCTAAACAATGAGAGGGTAGATTTGACTGTGTAGAAGACAATATATCTGGCAATTTCTTGTGTGGAAAACAAAGTGGTAGCAAAACTAACATTCATGTATATTTGGCATATCACAGATTACAAAGCATTTACACAAGATCCAGTTATCCCTATTTTACAAAGAAGAAAACTGAGTTTTGAAGACACATAAGATGCTACTCAGGTTGTATCCATTACAAAACTGACCCAAGAATCTGAGTTTCTCTGATTTTATATTTGGCTTTAACATGATTAACAACAGGTATGGCTAGTGTAGACAGAACTACACTAATGTCTTAATCATACATCCCAAGGCTTGAATGTTTACACAGAAATGAAGCTTTAAGACAAGAAATGGAGTCAGTCACCAATGTGACCCAACATTCTTTATAGGTATACAGTTGGTATAGAGTCAGGTTAAATATTTTTCTTGTTATTATATTTGCATGATATATGCCAAATAATCTAGGGATGATATTCCCAAGATGAAACTAAATCTCATTTCAGGGCGAGTCTGGACAAATAAAGCAATGTAAAAGTACAACATTCCAGGAAAATACCTATTCACCTATCAACTTTATAAGCACTACCCATTTCTATGCCCTTCCTAGACATGTCAGAGCTTGATTAGATAATAGAGTGCTTCAGAGAGGAAGGAGAAAATAAAAGCCCATGATCATATATTGAATGAATTTTAGAATCATGATTAAAAGTCATGTCTACCATTTCTTAATCTACATAGTACGGTTTTCATAATACTATTCCTTTTTCTAACCAAAGACAATGTAGAACAAAGATACCAATAAACTCAATTAAAGCTGAAAAAAAATTAAAAAAATAAAGAGAAAAAAAAAGAGCCTTTATAACTTCTATTATGCAATCCTTGGCTATTACAGTCTTATTACATATGTAAACAATACTCATTTATGAAAATTGAAAGATCTACCTTGAAACCAATATTCACATTATTCATTCAACAGCTCAACATAATTTATTTTACCAGTGACACCACAAAAACTGGCTCCTAAGTTTCCTTGGTACTCTCCTTTAGTTTTCTAAAGATCATTTAAAGCAAATAAAAAAGGTTCACAATGATCAAATAAATAAATATAGTATAAGGCAACATGGAATATATCTTAGTTTTTCAAGTAATAAACATTGCTATAGCAGAAAGAATATAGTGAATAAACTATAACAGCACATAACATCCTAATGATATAATAGACAATGTGATATAGGAAGAAAGGGGCTAAAGGTTTAGGGAAGTGGGAAGGGTAGGGGAAAGCTAATAAGGGAAAAGAAAAAAATATGAGGAAATGAAAAAATGGAAATGAAGTGTTTGTAAAGGGGGATGGTAGGAGGGGGTGAAGGGAGGGCAGGGACAAGGGGAAAAAATGAGAACCCAGACCTGTCCATGTAAAGGTACAAGACACCAATAATGAATGTAACTGTATTGTATACCTAAAATGTACCAATAAACTCAATGAGGAAAAAAAATATAATAAAATAAATTTTAAAAAAAAGAATGTGGGTACTCTGAATTATGATTTAGGCATTATTATTACTGCTCCAGGTTTATGATCACAGTATTGTAAACTTTGATTTGTGCTGTTGATACCAGTAACAACTAGCTACAGGAGGCTACTGAGCACCTAAATTGTTGCTAGTGTGAATTGAGATACTATACACCAAATTTCAAAAACTTAATATTAACAATTTTATGTTTTATAATATCAATATATAGTGTTAAAAAATATTTTGGATATATTGGGCTAATATATGTAAAAATTAATTTTACTTGTAACTTTTGCTTTTTAAATGTGATTATTAGAAAAATTTAAATTGCATTTGTGGCTCTCACTATATATTCTATTGTCAGACAAAAATTCAATGCCTCTTAACCGTGGCTGTACAGTAAAATCTTCCAGGAACTAGGTTTAAAAAAAATCTAATTTCTGTGTCCTATCTGAAGATTCTTGTTGAATTAGTCTGGATTCTAGGTTTTAGCCATTTTTTTCTCTGCTTGTTTGCTTGTTCATTTAGAGGCATTTTTTTTTTTTTGTAAACTGATACCCAAGTGATTTATTTTGTTATGCAGCCAGAGTTGAGAACTACTGGTCAAGATTCTACACCAAGTAGCTGCTGGGGTTGTATGCCTGGAGGAGTACTCCTCTTAGCTTTGGACTTGGGAACATCAATAAATGGTTACACAGATATTCTGAAACCAGATTATGCCGTTTGCCTTCCCAAAGCATCCAGGCTTACTCAGTTAACCCCTAGAAGAAAAATGCATTTGGATTTGGGTATGATTTAATCTTCCTTTAAGAGACATAAACTGTTATGTGTACAGAACCTTACAACTAGTTCTGAGGCTCATGGTTGTTGATGTGCTCTTTCTGCCTACACTTCATTCTGATTCAACTGATAAAGCTGATCTGTGACAAAGATAGCATTTTGAGATGTTGACAAAACATGGTACATATACAGGGAAGAAAGAATTGGATATGTCTTTAAGGATAGAAAGGGATCAGTGTTCATTTTGTTTACTTTTCCCTTTTGGTCAATGCTAAATTGTCCCAATCAGATAATAGTGCTTTCCAGTTGTGTAGCCTTTCCAGAAAGGAAGCCTCTTTTAACCCTTAGGACCAACCTGGGAGCTAATTTCTTAGAGCTAATAAGGTGGCGGTGATGATGATAATCATTATTATTATTATGACAATGATAAAACAAGTTACCATCTGCCATGTAACAGTTAGATATCAAGCACTATGACAGATATTTTACTTCCAGGTGTGATCTGGAAGATGTGGTCTGCTAGCCCTATTTTTCAGATAAGGAAACCAGACATCAGAGAGATTAAATATTTTGTCAAAAGCCATAGAGGCAAGAGGTAGGAAAGTTATATCTCAGGTTATCAGATTCCAAATACCCTTCTTCTTCCTTCATATTACTCTGCCATAATGTAACCCTTGAGACCTTTCGATCTCCAAGAGACTTTTGTTTGTGGTCTAGAAGACTTGGGCCTTATTCTACAAGGGAAATTAACAAAAAGTAATAGGTTACAGTGAGGATAGCTATAACACACCCTCACATTCCTTTGCTATTTGTCTTGCCAGGAAGTAATTTTCACATTTTATCCTATTCACTTGATATCACACGGCATTAAAGAATTGCCAGTACCATTTTGTAGATGGAAAAATCTAAGCTTACAAGAAAGAACAAATTCCATCTCACAATCTCAAAGAAGACCAAGAGCTGGGACTCCTATCCAGTGTTCTTCCGCCATAGGACCCTATTAATCAATGGCCCAGGGGAAGAACAAACTGCTAGAAACCACCTCGTAAGAGTTCCTCCGTTAATGACCGTGTGCTTCCTCATACAAATACCAAGGCCTAGTAAGCCCTTGAAGGCTGCCTGCTTACTACACCCAGCACATATTAGATCCTAAACATTTGACTTTGTTTTGAAAACTAGGGGACCCAATCAGTAAACCTAGCTCAAGGAGATGAGGTAGGGCAGGCAGGGCATATATACTCTTACATTAAGCATCCTATAATGATACAGAAAGGTATTCACACTTTCCTGAATAAAACAAGGAAAATGAAACAGAAAAAGGAGAGGAGGGAAATATATGGGATGACAGAGCAGAGAGAAGATGGGAAGGATCTACAAGAATAAAGGATAAAATAGAGAAAACATTAAAAAGAAACATAAGAAAGGCAAAAAAGTTTACAGAATATACACTTAAATGCATCTTCAAAACCACCCAGGCCAACCTCAGAAGGAAAAACTAAGGCCCAGAAGATGGAAGTGCTTTGAACAAAGGTAGGAAGTGAGGAGTATTATTAAAATAAACAAGAGACAAGAGAGACAAAGGAAACATCTAAAAATTAGAAAGGTGAAGATGAAGGCAAGGTGCTAGGTAGGTAACAAAATAAAACAAAACAGAAAAAAAATATGAGAAAAGCAACTAGGAGAGGATTGAGCAGGATAACAGGGGCTAATGAAGGGGAAGCCGGGAGTAGGCAGCCAAGAAGAGAGGAGAGGAGAGTGAAGACTGACACTCACCCTCACAAAGCTGGCAGGAAACCATCCCTCCTCATCGTCGATCTGGCCCCACCACCAATCCTTGTTGGAAGCATCCAAGACTTTGATGACGTCGCCAGCCTTAAATGCCAACTCCCGGTTGGCCATGGTGACGTGATCCCATACTGCCTCAGCACTAACGATGGAATCTCCAGTGATCAGCTTAGGAGACAAAATGAGAACGTGTTCAGTCCACATAGCTGGTTACTTTTCTTGTTCCTTCCCCCACCCACAGAGATCTACTACTTAGGGGAAATCTTATACATTCTAGTAGTAGGGGTAGGATTAAGGGTAGTGGCACTAGAGTACAAGCTCTGTTGGACTACAAGATAATGCTGTCAACTCTCCATTAGCCAATGCATAGAATGAGCCAATGTGTGGATAGACCATACATGTGTTATGCTTTTATCCTACTCATGATCTCCCATAGAGAAGAAAGCTCTACTTCATCTCTTTTTTGTTCATCTTTCTCTAAGTCTGGACTCTTCCCAGCATGAAATAAATAGCTAAAATGAGGTTTGTGTATATTAGCTCTCAATTATCTGTGCTCTTTCCCATTTCTATCTTCTTGTAACTGACCAATTGAGAGTTGATGGTACCCCATTGAACCCCTCTCCCTGGAATAACAGATCATGACACTCCTCACACACAATAGACCCCAGTGCTACAGCCTCCTGCTCTCTCTTACACACAATGTCACCCAGAAAGGTCATGGGTATGAAAGACTATGATTTTCGGTGATACTCTGTGCCCAAGAAACTCAACTTTGGCACAGATTAATTTAGTGATTTGTACAACCACCCTGTGATATACAAATGGGAGTTTGGGTTGACTTCTGCATTTGATAGATATCAAAACAGGGATGCAAAGAAGTTGAGAGATGAGCTAAAGACCACCCAATAAGGCAGGGGCTGTATATTCACCCTAGCCCAGATCATTAGACTTCATGGAAAGCAAGACCAGTCAGCAAACAACAAGAAGAAAACATCTATCCTCTCAGCACATGAACAAACACACATATTCATGATACTCATCTAAGCACAGTGGTAAGGATAGGAGTTAGGGGTTTTCCCAGCATTTGGGGCAACACATTCTAGAAAACATACAGCCTGTCAGGCAAAGAGACTTAAGCACTCTCTTCCTAGCCCTGAATTCCTGAACATGTCCTTTAGGAGTTAGCTCTTCCATCAGTCTGCTTTGAGGAAGGATTAATTCCACAAAGCAGTCATGGAACCCTAAGACTGCAGACAAGAGTTCAGACAACAGACATTATATAGGAATATGTATCCCTTCCCACAGGTCATCCCTAGAACATACTCTCCTGAGATGAATGCACATCACATCATATATGTGTGTGTGTGTGTGTGTGTGTGTATAAAACATTTTTAAAGTTGTACTTTTCATCAAGTCCTAACTGAAACATAATTCATTGCTCAGCATTCCAGCCTTGGTGACTCCTACAGAAAATAAGGTGTGAATCAATCTCCTCAATATGGACACAAGATTTCTAACAAGACTTTTTATAATATCATATCTCAAGTACTTTATGCTATACTGCCTGAAAAGTTTTACACATCTACTATATCACTCGATCTTTACTGAATGATTTGGATCTATTACTTACTTACTCAGTCTTATAAAAATGAGGAAAAAGGCTCAGAGAAGTGACCTGGTATTACAGACAATAACATAAGGAATAAATTGTGCAGCCAAGTCTTTTAACTTCATATACTTTTTAAAAACAATTTAAAAATTTTTCATTTGTATTTGTTTACATTATATAATGTTTACATTCCTTGTGGGAAATTGGTACATGTAAAATATACATCTCATTTCCTTTTTCATCCCTTTTCCCTTCTCTCCTTCCCCTCTCCATCTATCTCTTGATCACTTTCTTTTGAGGGGGAACATGTGTGCAATATATAATGTACATATTTCTTGTGTTGAGTTGGTACATATACATAACACATCTTGATTCATCACCTTTCCCTCTCCCCTCTCTCACCCCTACTTTTATCTCTTGATCCCCTTAACCTTCAAGAAAGATACATCTCCCTATTTCCTATTATCTTTCTTTTATTTTGCTCATATAGTCTTCCATCTATCAAAATGTACTACCAATGGGATTCTGGGAAGATGGCAGAGCAGTAAGCAGCAATAAATCAGCCTCTCCAAGATTTGGAAGACTGACACTGGAAAACAATATGGAAAAGAAAAAGAGGAGAAAAGTAGAAACCAGGGACCCAGGAAGGATCTTAAGGGAAAACTGAAGCCTACAAAGAAATTGAAGAGCCAGACCACAAGGCAGAAAAAAAAAGAGGCAATCTGCACTTTCTCCCTAGCTCCTAGCTTGTGGCAAGAAAAAGAAAGATTGAATCCACAAAGATTCAACGAAAGGGGATGACTCCAGAGGGCTTCAGGGAGAAATGCTCCAATATAACAGAGCAGTGGATACAATGAACTACGATAGCTGGTGAGTGACTCCAGCCCAAGTGTTTACCATATCCCCTATGACAGGGTGGAGCCAACTGAACCTGGGACTCAGAGGAGTCACAGGTCGGCTTCATCTCAAGGCTCCCAGTGTTAAACTCCCAAAGTGACTGGGAGGGAGGGAGATCCATTGGATATGTCCATGTGAAGGAACCATGGTCAGGCCAGCAAGAGACACCAAGAATACTATAAGCTAAAGAACTCAGGCCTCATCACCATGACCAGAGGTTCAGCCTGAATTTCTGTGGAGCTGAAAATATCAAACGATCACACTCCCCTAATTCTACTGTTGGCTTGCAGGAATTATTCAGCAAGGATCTAGGCTCTGATTGACTCCCTACCTCTGATTGACTACCAAGAGCAGAGTCAGCCCCTGAATTAGACACTACCACAAAACTGTACACTAGAAGATAGCCACAGGATTGAAATCACAAAAAATTTTTTCTTTGCTATTGGTCTTTTTTCTGCTACTGTTCATTTGTTTGGGTTTTGTTTTCTTTCTTTGTTTGGATCGCTCATTTCTTGTGAGTGGGAATATTAGCTTTAGGAGGTGTATTATTTTGCTTTGTTCCTGCTTTGGCTTTCTTCTTCTTTCCTTCCATCTTGTCTTCTTCAGTAGCTTCCTGGGGCTTGAGTAATATTATTTTGTCCTTCAGCCTTGCTTCTAATCTCCTTTTCTTCTTTCATGTCTCTAATTTTTCCTCCTGTCACTTAAAAATTTTCTCTCTTTAGGGTAAAATTGCTAAATTGAACAAATATTTACTATATATAATTTTCTGATTTATCTGAGATTTTGTTATACGATAATAAATACTGCACCTAAGTTTAAAGGTGGCAAATTATTAGTCATCACAGTTTGTCATTTTCAGTCCATGTTTGATGCTATTATTATTACTGATTGTAATACTTTAGCAAACATGACATAGTTGTCGTGATTAACTGGTCTTAATTGCATGAAAGTTCCTAGATTGTTTGGGGGGGCATAAAAATAAATACACAGATGTATAAATACCAAATAGTTTATCTGGTAGGAGAAACTGAAAGTGTAAATAAGGATCAAAATGTATAATAGATAATGTGAAATAGCAAGAAGGGGCAAAGGTCATTTCTTGTGAGTGGGAATATTAGCTTTAGGAGGTGTATTATTTTGCTTTGTTCCTGCTTTGGCTTTCTTCTTCTTTCCTTCCATCTTGTCTTCTTCAGTAGCTTCCTGGGGCTTGAGTAATATTATTTTGTCCTTCAGCCTTGCTTCTAATCTCCTTTTCTTCTTTCATGTCTCTAATTTTTCCTCCTGTCACTTAAAAATTTTCTCTCTTTAGGGTAAAATTGCTAAATTGAACAAATATTTACTATATATAATTTTCTGATTTATCTGAGATTTTGTTATACGATAATAAATACTGCACCTAAGTTTAAAGGTGGCAAATTATTAGTCATCACAGTTTGTCATTTTCAGTCCATGTTTGATGCTATTATTATTACTGATTGTAATACTTTAGCAAACATGACATAGTTGTCGTGATTAACTGGTCTTAATTGCATGAAAGTTCCTAGATTGTTTGGGGGGGCATAAAAATAAATACACAGATGTATAAATACCAAATAGTTTATCTGGTAGGAGAAACTGAAAGTGTAAATAAGGATCAAAATGTATAATAGATAATGTGAAATAGGAAGAAAAGGTGCAAAGGGGAAGGGCAAGTAGGAGGGGCAGGGGAAAGGGAAAGAGGAGAATGGAATTAATATGAGAAAACGAAAAAATGGAAACAAAGTCTTTGTAATAAGGAATGCTGGAGGGGTTGAAGGGAGGGCAGGGGAATGGGGAAAAATAAAAATCAAGATATATCATGTAAAGGTACAAATCTCCAATGATGAATGTCATTCTACTGTATACCTAAAATGTACCAATCAAATTAATAAAAAAATATTATAACCCAGTACCAAATAACTATGTGTTAGGCGAAACAGGTTGCAAAATTTCATCCCTAATAAATAGAAAAGGCAGGATCCTGGGACACACTCAAAGGCCAAAAGCCACCTATACCTAGAAGACATCTCTGAAAAGTAGTCATTTCCTTAGTAGATGTCAATACTAGTAAAAAACCACCTATCATAAGCAATTTACAAGCCTCCATGCAGAAAACAAATTTAAAAATAGAAAATAAGAAAAAATGTAAGCAAGATGCAAACCAACACCCACAACTCACCCAAGGAAAATCCAGGGGGCAGTGAGGTAAAAGAAACCAAAAGCTCCCCCAGCTAACCTTGCTGAAATGGTAATAGTAGTCTATAACCATAGCATCCTGAATGCACCCAATCTCATCTGAAATGGTAATAGGAGAAGTAACAAAATACATGAATAACTCTCTCGTCAAAACTAACATACCACAAAACATTACATGGACAATTAAAGTGATGATGACCTTAATGTAAAAGTGTTTAGAGAAGCTAGAGTAGATACAGATAAAAAAATAGAAAAGCTTAGGAAAGACAGGTAAACAATGCCCAACATAGATAAGAACTGGATACTATAAAACAGATTCAAATAGATATAAAAGAGATAAAAATTCTATTTAAATTATTCACAATCAACCAATGTGAAGATAGAATATCAGATCTAGCAGACAAACTTGTGGTTGGCAATCATCAAATGAAAGACTTCTTGAAAATAG